TGTCCTGCTGTGTTCATCCAGCCCTGCACCTTGTTGTGCAAGGTGAGTTTTAGTTTGGTATTATTATACATACAGATGGTTGTCATTAGTCACATGCAGTTACTGCTAGGATCTTTTCAAAAATAGTATGTTCAGAAGATAGCAAAAGTAAGTCCACTACATCAAAAGATGTAGTGGACTACATCTGTTTTCGGTTTTCAACTCTGACAGTGGATCTTCAAGAGATTTCTCAGAAAGGTGGTAAAGACTGAATTTAGGGTCTTACCTCTTCACAGGCTGCAACCCAAATGAACTCCAATATCAAAATAGCCGCAACTTTTAACAGCTGTAAACTCAACTAATGTCTACCGTTTTGGTTTCCTCATTTAGGAAAGGATGTGGACATGTTGGAGGTGGTTCAGGAGAGGTTTGCGAGATTTGATAGCTGGAATGACCAAGAGGTGGTGGAGGTAGATTCTTAAGTGAGGGAGTAAAAGGTCATTGAAAGCAGTTGCGAGTGGTAAATTTACCACTTAGACATATCAACCATGATCTTGATGAATGGTGCAGCAGGTTTGAAGAGCTGAATACCCTACTTCTGCTCCTAATTGGTATGTTTGTAGGTAACTCTGACATGGAAATTCCAGTAAATCCTAGCAATTCCGTTGCTTACAAACCTTGTCTGTTTACTGAGAGTCATAGAGATATACAGCACAGAAACAGATTCTTTGGACCAACTCACCCATGCCAACCAGATATGCTAAATAAGTCTAGTCCCATTTGCCAGCATTTGGCCCATATCCCTCTAAACCTTTCCTCATCATTTACCCATTCAGATGCCTTTTAAATGGTGTAATTGTACCAGTTTCCACCACTACTGGTAGCTCACTGCATACGCACACCACCTGTGTGGAAAATGTTGCCCCTTAGATCCCTTTTAAATCTTTCCCCTCTCACCTTAAACTTATGCCCTCTGATTTTTGACCCCCACCCCTGGGAAAAGACCTTGTCTGTTTACCTATCCATGCCCCTCGTGATTTTATAAACCTCTATAAAGTTACCCCATAGCCACTGATGCTCCAGAGAAAATAGCTCCAGTTTACTCAGCCCCTCTCTATAGCTCCAATCCTCCGACCCCAGCAACATTCTTGTAAATCTTTTCTGAACCTTTTCAAGTTTCACAACATCCTTCCTATAGCAGGGAGACCAGAATTGCATGCAGTATTCCAAAGGTGACCTAATCAATGTCCTGTACAGCTGCAGCATGACCTCCCAACTTCTATACTCAATGCACTGGCCAGTCAAGGCAAGCATACCAAACACCACCTTCACTAACCTACCTACTTGCGACTCCACTTCCAAGGAAGTATGAACCTGCTCTCCAAGGTCTCTTTGTTTAGCAACACTCCCCTGGACCCTTACCATTAAGTTTATAAGTCATACTCTGATTTGCTATTTGAAAATTCAACACCTCACATTTATCTGAATTAAACTCCATCTGCCACTCCTCAGCCCATTGGCCCATCTGATCCAGATCCCATTGTACTCGGAGGTAACCATCTGTACTGTCCATTAAACCTCCAATTTTGGTGTCGTCTGCAGATTTACTAACCGTACCTCCAATATTCACACCCAAATCATTTATATAAAAATGATGAAAAGCAGTACACCCAGCACCGATCCTTGTGGCATACCGCTGGTCACAGGCCTTCAGTCTGAAAAGCAACCCTTCCCACCACCCTCTGTCTTCTACCTTCAAGGTAGTTCTGGATCCAAATAGCTAGTTCTCCTTCTATTTGTTTAACCTTGTTAACTAGTCAACCATGAGGAACCTTGTCAAATATATTACTGAAAACCATATTGATCACGTCCACCTCTCTGCCCTCATCAATCATCTTTGTTGCTTAGCTTTAAACATGTGACTTTTAGTAAGTAGAGAGCCTTTCAAACAGTAAAGATTCAGTACTTCAAATGAACCAGTTTTCAAAATGCTTTCAACAAGAGCCCCAAAGAAAAACTAACAATGGAAGCACCTCTATAACACATGACAATAGCGTTCTCCTTCAGTCATCGTATTTCTCTTACAGCTTAAAGGACTGAGAAAATCATTTTGATTCTGGTTTTGTCATCTGAAACCACATTGGCATTCAGGGTAGGGTAGATACATCTACCCAAGATCTTTTTTTATTTGTTCCTGTGATATGGATGTCACTGGCTAGTCCAGCATTTAATGCCATCCCTGATTGCCTACGGCTTGTTTGACCAAGGCAATTGAGAGTCAACCATGTTGTTGTAGCTCTGTAGACTCCTGTAGCTAGAACTGGGTGAGGTTGGCAGCTTTCTTTCCCTGAAGGACATTAGTTACTGAGATGAGTAGGTTAATGTTCTGGGTTACTAGCACAGTGACATTGCTGAAACATCGCTGCCTCCCCGATATGACATACATTGAACATACTTTACACAAATAATGATTTCCAAACACCATTAGGTAACTTGACATTTTCAGTACAAATATCAAAGTGGACAAAATAGGCAATGAGTCTTGACTCTGTCTTAACGCTTGTGGGCGTGTCCCGAAGTAAGGGACTTCTAAATACAAAAGTCGTAACATGGACAAATACTGTTACAGCACTCAGCAAGAAGATAACTTGATAGCTGTTAAAGATTTTCTACCGTCACGTATTATTCCTAAATGGCACTGCAATTTTTGCATCTCTCATATCCTGAGGCTTGCTCCCTCCTCCCTCCAGCAGTGACAAAGAAGTTAACGTAGGTGCTGTTAGAGCGCATGTATCCTTGTTTGAGTTCAGGATGTATAATTTTATTCAATGAGCATTGAATTGACTCAACAAGATCTTGGACCCCCTCAGCAGGGATGCACTAACTGACATTGGTTTTGCACAGCTCTCCTATTGTACATTGATATTCACATGTTCCGTAACAAGCTTTATATGGTATCTAGACCATCTTCTGCAACAACACAACTCCAGGTAATGTTTCATCCATTTCTCCAGCTATTTATTGTAGATGATGATCTCCACTGCCTTTGCATTGGCCTTGTTAGAGCTGTTTTCTTTGCTAATGCTTTTGTTGCCTCTCAGATTTCATCATACATACCCCTGTATCAAAGGACATATGGATAGTCTGGCAAAGCTAAACTTGGATCACTACAGTTTCTACCATTAAAACTTGATTGAATGTTTTTGTTTGGAATTTACCTCCAGTTCTATGTTATACCAATTTGGCTTATTAAATGGGACATTGTAAATCTATGTGCTCAATCCTAATACTTGAAAATTTGTTGATCATAAAAATGACTGATGTATGGAGTATAGCTATAACAGTGTAAGACATTGACATTGGCCAAGCTAATTATTGGTGCATTTAGGTGGGAAAGTTTTCTTTGCATTCAACCTAAATAACTAGTTGCTATCTTAGAGGAGATGGATTTCCCGCATTATTTTTCTTTTAAAAACTAACAACCGGTTTCCATTTTTTACATTTTTAGGGTTGGGGAGCTGAATATCATCGACAGGATGTAACAAGTACCCCTTGCTGGATAGAAATCCATCTGCATGGTCCTCTGCAGTGGCTGGATAAAGTTCTCACCCAGATGGGTTCCCCACATAATCCTATCTCTTCTGTGTCATAACAGTGCTTTAATGCTGCTTCATAGTGCTCATAAATCCTTGAGTGTTGAATTTTCAAGAGTTTGTTATTTCACTTGAAGAACAAACAGAATGGATACACTCTGGACTGTCGTGAATGGGAATTGGAATATACTTGATTCTTTGTGACCAATTGTTGGAGAAAGATGATCAGTCTTTTTAGTATACTGCTGTTCTTGTGAAAGTGTTCAGTTTACACTGGTATTCCATTTCTACCTATTCTGAAAGAATTTGTATAATTATGGTTTTAGAATACAGAGATGAAAGGTGACCAAGCATAGATTTGAATGTTGCAAATGCTGTGTTTTAAGTACTAGTTTGTGGTCAAAATATAGATGTGAAGTCATTTTTCCAAGAGAGCACAATTGCTGTACAGTTGGTATGCTGAAGTTGAATATATTTTGCACAAATGATGACTTACAAACCCTCTACACATTAGGTCACTTGACATCTGTAGTTAAAAGAAAATGTGGAAGTGGACAAAATGAGCCCTGTGTGCAGCTCTGTCTTAACTTCAGTGCTGACATTTCTTTTATAATACTGTCAAGTTACAACTCCATTCTTGGTGGATTTCTATAGTTTTATATGTATGTTGAGGTTTAAAATATTACTTTTGTCCTCATTTTCAATTAGGTAGGGAATTTCAATCTGACACTAGAAGGAAGTAGGTAAAAGGGCAATGTGTTCTCCACTGTGCATTTGGTGAATTCAGTATTTTTTAACTATTACATTTAAAATGTACTTTCTTCAGTCTAAGAAGCTACTGTCCTCTTACTTGTAGCCATACATCAGATCTGAAATAGTTAATTCAACATTTTAAAAAACACATTGCAAGCAAAATTTGCCGAAAGCATTTGCTGCACCAGATGTTCTGCCTCTGTTACTTTGTGCTAATTTGTCAGTTTAAAGAGTTGTTTTGAAATGATTTCTATAAATCCTCTGAGCAACTGATTAGTTAGTGGCTACCAACAGGTTGGACATTTGTAGGTTGGTAGAACTAGATTCTTGTGCAGTTACTTCCAGCTTGATTAGTTCCAATTGGCTGGAATCTTGCAACACATTACAAATTCTAGCTTCCTGAGTGGCTAAATCAGCTTTGTTTATATTTTTATTTGTTTTTAATAGTGCTAATTTCTACTGTTGTATATGCACTTTTACACAAGACTTTGCTGTTGTGCTGTAGAATTTGGAGAGACATTTATTCCAAAGATTGCGAGTCTTCATTCAAAAACATCAATCTGTTTTGGCATGATGTTTAAAATACCTTTCTTCTTTGACATTTTGGTAACGCATTTTGTGAATTGCATCACTGCAAAGTCTGTATAGTAAAATCTCCCTAAAAATTCTATCTTTAGAGACTTTTAAAAAATTTTGTTCAACTAACCCTGATTATAACTCATTTGATCCATTTGTTTAAACATTTTATCCAGTTGGATCTTGTGTTTTCTGTTTACTTTTGGTATGAGGATAAAAACCTCAGGATTTCCTATTCTAAGGTTAAAGATTACCACCCTGTGCCCAGGCCTGTTCAAAATGCTCTTAACTAGACATAGGACAAATGAGAGACCAGAGGGGAGGGAACGCCAAGACTTTTTTTAAAAAAAAAACAGTGGCAATGGAATTAGTACAAATGTCACCAGTGCCTGCAAAATTAGTTCATTACAATATGTTGGTAAAACTTGATTGTGATGGTATACAAAAGTACAAACCTGTATATATTGTACCAATCAACATTTGTTGAAGTCATTAGTATCAAGTGGCTTAGTCTTCATAAAATACAAACTTGATGCAAAGAAATGAAAACATTTTACAAACTATAAAAAACAACAGGCAGGTGGAAAGGAGATGGTTGGAAACCAGTCTATAGCAGTGTCTCATTTTTAAAAAAGTTTTTATTTTTTTCTTTTCAGCTTTTCTGCATCCTATATGGATGAGAAGCTGTCAGTTAGATCATGCAGTTCACTAAAGTTTCCACATCATCAGTGAGAATATTTCAACTTTAACACTATTGTAATGCAAATTACTTCAATTAGATATCATTTAACATCAATGTAAACGTGATATATGATGGCTTTTCTACTTATGATGCTCCTTTTTTCTTCCTCTATTCCATAATGGACCAGTCTGTACAATCAAGAGCAATCTTTAGACTTGAGGAAGAAAACAAAATAAATATTTTACAGAATTGATGTGTACAAAATAAACCTTTTTATTCAACAGAAAACATGGGATATTCTTGAGTACTGTGTAGTGCGGTGATCAAATTGCATGAAACGTTTCAATAAAAATTCTAAATTATCCAAAGCCATTTTATCATGTAACATTTTGATTGAGGCAGCCAACATTATAGTGACATGAAGAATTGCTCTCCCATACTGTTCATGGGAAAGAAGAAAAATTAAAAGATTTGTGTTCCGCTTTTGCACTTGCTTTTGTCTTCCATACCCTTTGTTTCCCTCCTTTTGTATAATTCTCAGACACCAACAGTAGACAATTCTTGAACTGAAATTTTCTACATTCATACTGGCAGTGAAATATGAAATTAAACATTGTGTGACTGCAGCTTCCCAGCTTCCACTGGCAGTAGGTGGCCTAATATTATTACCTGTATGGACTTGCAAGTTCACAGCAAGTATATGCATTAAAATTTTGTTTAGGGTTTACACTTGACTATATAACCTCTTCTTTCAATGCCACATTTTGAATCCTCCTTTTGATCTCAACATGGTATCAAAACTGAGACTGCCTCTTTAGCATTTAAAATGGTATAATCCTTATCTAGTGCCAAACTAAGACTATTAGAAGTACTTTCAGATGAAATCTTGAAGAGGAGAAAGGATAGTCTCATCCTGGCCAATATTTATCACTCAATGAACAACGAAAACAAGTTATCTGGTAATTTTAACTTGTTTGTGGAATTTTGCTGTGTATCCAAATTTGACTGTGAATCCAAATTCCATTGAGTGAGTTATCAAAAATCTCTGATGGGCTGGCATCAAGATTCATGTGAATGTAGCAAAATTTGCATACTTTAACTGGGGGAGGTGAAGGAATTAACATTTAAGTGGACAACCATCTCCTTTAACATACAGTCCTTTTAAGTTTATTGAGGATTGTATTTGAAATTGATTTTGTCTTTGAGCTAAAATTTTTAAGTTCGAGTTTTAAGATTTGTCTGTAAATAAGTGATTGTTGAACACAATTACATTGCACAGTTGTATGTTTGGCTTTGATATGGTCTGTCGATTTGCACGTAGTGATGGTTGCAAAGTTGAACAAAATAGTAAATCCTACTGAGATCTTGTTGACAATGCTCATGTAATCAAATAGCACAATCTGCTAAACACTAGCCTGCTTATACAGTATATAATCAGATGCAGTTCTCAAGTGAAAGAAGTTTCATCCAGTTTCTCAATTTCTGCTTCATTGTCAATGCCTTTTGATGTGAAAACACAGTAATACAAGTTACGTACCAATCCATGGTCCATCTGATCACAAGCAGAAAATTATATTTTGAATGGGAACAAAGTTCGCTGATGCAGGATGAGTATCTAGAATCAAAAATTTGATGAAAAGAAAATCAAGACCATGAGTTTCCAAATTACTGAAGTTATAAATATTTTTTGAAATTAGTATTAACCTTGCTGCACAAATCCAATTAATCAATCATGTCCCACATAAAAGACTCCTAACCTACACTACTTTATGCTATCTTATGAAAGATTGAACCTGACAGCATCCTCTGGAAAATAAAGCAAAATGTATGATTTTTGGAACTGGCAATTTTAAGTAGCAGCCATCCTTGCCATTTGGTGACAATGACAAATTTGGATAGAGAATGGCTTTGGATGTCCAGATTGTCTGGAAAATGGAAACATTTTTAACTGTTTAAAACTTGGTGTCAGCGGTTTTAATCTATATTTATGACTTTAAAGTGAAAGTGCAAATTTTATTAATTTTCCCACTGGTAAAACAAAAGCATATGGAGTAAAATCTGTTTCAGTTATCACTGCATGGAGATTTGTAAAACTTGAGAACAAAACTAGGCAGACTTACTTGTAGATGAGTCCAGAATTGAACTCTGTCTTCACTGGAATAACATTGAAATGAGCAACAGGTGATCAAACAATGTTTTTGGAAAACCCAATTCAAATCTTATATAGGTTTAAAAGCTTCCTTCAATTTCCTGCATCTTTTACCTGAAAATATTGATTTGGAAGTATCAGTCCTAGTGGTAAGAGCACTGGAATGTATCTATGTTTCACCAAATAACTTCTTAAGGCTACTGACTGCAAGGCTATCCCAACGTGCTCCTGTACTTGACCAATGTCAATATTGTTGAAAGTGGGGAGAACAAAATAATGCAGTTTCTTTTCCATGTTTCTTAGTATGTCCTTTTTTAAACAGTTGCAAAACAAATTTAAACTGTGTGCGTCTATATACAATATATATAATATATATGCTACAATCATATCATTAAGCTGTCGTCTTCCCCTTCTGTTAGCCAGCTTGTGTTACCTGTACAAGTACCCACAAGTCCTTTTGTGTTGCAGCTTTCTGCTGTTTTTCTCCATTTAAATAACGTTCTTTTATTTATTCTTTCAAAACTGACGACAACTTCATGTTTCCCATATTATACTCCATTTGCCAACTTTCTGTCTACTTACTTATCAATCTCTCTGAAACTTTGCATCCCTTTTGCAACCTGCTTTTTCATCTATTTGTGTTTGCAAATTTGGCTACAGTAAGCTTCCTTCAAGTAAACAGTTGCTTATATAAGTGTAAACATATATAGTGAACATTCTCTGCTTGTTTCCAATAACATGGCTGATCTAGTTGTGGTATTACTCCATTTTTCTGTCGTGCCCCCATCCCCATGCTTGACTCCTTTGAGTTTATTCAATGACTCAACCTCATATGTAAGAGAATTCCACAGATTAGCCACCTGTGAGGAAAACAAATACCCATGTTTCAGTTTAAAAATAAGACTGTCTTGAAAGCAAAGTCTCCTGGTTCGAGTCCTTTACAAGGAGGGGGACATATTCTCTTAGAATCTGACTCATTCACTTCCCCTTCGTGCCCTGTTGCAAGTCATATTTCACATTTTCCTCTGGACATCTAGAATTGTTCTGATCAGTTTATTTTCTACACTGATTTGTCAGATTTGGAAGAACTGAAAATTGTCTTAGATGGACAAGGATGGACCATAGTCATCTGATTAGGAACATCACACTTCTATTGTCCTTTTGCTATCTACTTATCCACATGTAGCCCTTTCAATCTAATTGTTAATGCAACTGCCTCGGAAGTCAAGGTAGCAGATAGCTGATGGCGCAAAACAGCTTGTGGAGCTTGCATGCTATAGTCTTTTCTAGTGAATTATTTGCATTTCAAGACATGAATTCCAAATTAAGAATCTGCAGCTGAAAGTATGGTGCTCAAACATTTGCGTGCAAACTGATTTGCTTGCTTTTTAGACAACACAGATCCCAGTGTAAAATGAAGAAACACTGAAAAGTAAAAACCGAAAGTACTGTGAATGCTGAAAATCAGAAACAAAAATAGAAGTTGCTGGAAAAAGCTTAGCAGGTCTGGTAGCAGCTGTGGCGAGAGATTAATATTAGAGTTCAACACCTTCAAATTGTGAACCAACTCCCATTTCTACCCTTTTTTGCTTTACTTGTTACATTCTGTCACCATGTCCTCTCTTCCCTACCCCCCTAGTCCGGCCCCGTGCGGGCCTCGCT